TCAACATACAGCTTGCAATCTATAAGTCAATGGTGGCGAACCTATGGCACGGGTGCCAGAGGCGGCACTCGGAGCCCTTTCTGTGGGCAAATGTGCCGTTGCCCCAGCCTTGCCTCCCCCTGCGACCCCCTCCTCTCCAGCAGCCCCCAGGAAGGAGAGTCGCCCCTGAGCGTGGCCCATGTGGAGCAGCGCAGCCAAGAATATTGCAATCAGGCAACGTAGACAAGACTCTGCCCTCACACCCCATCATGCAGTTGATGCTGCAGGGTGCGGGCAGAGGGCGTGACTGCCATAGCGCTGCTGGGCTGCCTGGGCGATCTGCGGCAGGCCCTGTAAGCGGTGAGTGGCCCTGCGGGCAGGAGGCACGGCAGGGGGTGGAGCGGGGCCCGGGGCCAGTTTTGGGGCACTCAGTCTCTAAAAGGTTCGCCATCACTGCTATAAGTTATCTATTCAAAATTACAAAACATAATTAGAAAGTTACGAACAGCTGCTTTCCAGCTAATAAATTAAGAGAAAATTAATTAATTAATTAATATATTAAGAGAAAAATTTGTTTTCATCCTTGCTGGTATTATTGTTCAATTTATTTAGTGTGACAAGATAAATACTTTGTAGGTGTATTTATCCAGTCATATTGTCAGAACATTATTTCTAAGAACTGAAATATAGAACTGAAAGAATGATAGCTGTCCTCCTCCCATTCATATCAAAGTTCTCCTGAATTCTCTACTACTTACCAAGGGAAATGTTATGCAATATTAAGCAGTTTCATATTTATCCTCTGCCATTGCTGGATGCCTCTCTTACATACCAAAATTATAATTCTAAGTAATTTGAAATCCTACCCTAATCAAGTCTAATTTAACAATATCTTTCCTATGCAGAATGCTAATCCCTTCCTGTTCAACGGATGGATGCAAATGAAGGTTATGCAGTATTTAAAGTATGGATCAATATTTATGGATTGCTATCATTTTCCAAAACTGAACAGCCCCACTGACATATTCTGAATCTGCAAACTCAGCCTGCAGACTACTTAAATAAGGAATTATTTCAAATTAAGGGTCTGAAAGCTAAATCCAAAGGCAGTCTGTTTTGTAGAAAGAGCATTTCTCTTGAAATCTCTGGCCAATATTCAGTCAAATAAGTGCCACATGATATATTTCTTCACAGAATAGGTTTCGTATTATGAAAACTGTAACCATATATTTCACCAACTGATGCATGAGGCACAAATTTGAGAACTGGGACAGAATTTAGGAAATAGAACATATATATCATAGTTTAGTTTTACCGTCTTTGATTATGCTACATAGATCCCCCTTCAGGCATGATGGATGTGTGAAAATGACCTACTTCAAGAGATTTGTGAATCCTGTAAAAAGTCCGGAATTAACAGAGGTGCCTTATCATAAATTTTGCTAGACTGCTTCATTCCTGTTTACCAGAGCAGATGCAGAAAGGACTATTACCCTTAATAAGCAGGACTACTCCAAGATCAGTGACAGGTAATGACAGTCATGAATATCAACATTGTCTGTCCTTTCAGGTAGGTCAGGTGCAACAGATGCCGCAAGGACTATGAGAACTCATATTTTATTATTGCAGGTTTATAAGAGCAGAATCCTGAAAGCCTGCCTGTTTTCCTCTGCCCCAGTTATAGCATATAAAAACAAGGCAGTTATTTTGAGTCTCTCATACCCCCACCATTCCCAGAGCTGAGATATTGTTTACTGTCTTTTTTATTTCAGATAAGATAACCTTTATTGTCATTTTTATACTGTGGGCACAATGGCACACATCAAAAATGAAATTTAGTTGCCCGCTCTCAAAGTGAAACACATACATGACACAAACCTAAACATACTATGAACAACATATGTATAGACCCACATTTCTACATATACGTAGCAAATAAATATTAAACATTGTCCATCTTGAATATATAACGGAAGGAGGAAGCTTGCATTTCTTTTCCATCATTGCCTCTGCCTTTTTGAATCTGGTAACACTTGTCAAGCATAACAATTTTTACTACAAGGTGTAAGTTTTAATGAACTGCAGGTTATCTTATTAAATGCTGTTCACAAAAGGTTGTGTCTTTTATATGTTTGTTTTTAAGGTTCATATTCTCAACATACAGAAATAGACTTCACAATTTAGACACTTAGATATTCAGAAAGGAAAGCTCAGATGGTCCTGCCACAGTGGTATTTTATCCATAACATTTGTTCCTTTGGAAGGCAACAAGCTAACAGGTGCCAACAGATGAGCCTCCTCTACTAGTGCTGAAAGGTATTCTGTGAAGAGGAGATTCATATTTCCTCATATTTCAATTAGAGGCTCATACACTCCTAACCAGAATTACAGGTCATAAATGTCTCACCTATTTCTCTTTGTGAATAATAGATGCATTTAGACAAAGGCCTTTTGGGCTATCAATCAAAAGATGCTGTACAACTATTTCATTTATTTCTCAACTTTTTCTCAGAAAAGAAAAAATTATAAAAAAATATATAAAAGAAACAGCGGGAAAAGGATTTCACATGGAGGAAACCTATCACAGGGACCTTTTGAAAAATCCCTTGAATCAGGTCATACAATAAGAGAAGCTAAAGTTTTCTTCAGTGGAAATACCCAGCCTGATTCATAGAACTCCTTCTGACAGAATGCCATACACAAGAGAAACAAAAGCAGGAAGACATTTGAGTATCATGAAAATTAGGCATACCAGGAATTGCTTAATAAACTGCAGAAATGTAGGGCGAAATATTTTACTGATTTATTTTTTTATTATTTCAGCAAATAGATTAAATGTTATTCAAAAACTTTAACTTTTATAGCACAGTAAGAAGTGTCAAAAGGCCATTTTTTTCAGCGTGAAAATTTTCATTCATAGATTTTTAATCTTTCTTGGTGTTTACCTTAAACATGTATTTCATAATGGCTGTAGAAATTTTTCAGAATAAATTATTGGAACAAAATTGGCTGAGGGAGAACAAGCTCATTTACAAAACAGAACTTTCTTTGGTATTTTTCCTCAGGCTTAAATCCCCGTGTACCCCTCTGATTGGGGTATAAACTTTCTAGATTGGTCTGTAGAACCAATTCCTAAATCAAACAAGGAATTAATCTGAGAAACAGTTTCATTACTATGTTAATTGAAGTAAATTAAATTTTGAAAGAGTATATTTGTTTATAGGAGCGATAGGTACTCCGAAACTCAGATGCACACACCTTTTTTCTGTCTCGTTTCCAGGCATGAATCAGCCAAAACCAAACATCACAAACTAGAAGATTATAACCAGCATTCAAAAATTATTCAAAAAAGTTCAGGACTTTTTGAGTAGATCTTAGATAATTATTATTAGTTTTAATTATTTTATTATTTTTGACTTAATTTGTTAATATTTGTTTGGAAAAGGAGTTAAAGTGTGTTATGGTTTTGATTGATAGTATAGTTGGCTTATGTTAGTTAAATTATGTTTGTTTACTTTATTTTTTACCCTGTAATCAGCTCTGGGAAGTGGGGGAGGGGGGAAGGGGTGGGGTGATATTGTAATAAATTTATAAAACTTTTAAATAAATAAAAAAGTTCAGGACTTGACAAGGTTATAGGGCACAAACGCAGCAATTTTCATTTCAATGTTAAAATAATCTCCCGGGAATAAATTACTTTGAGTACAATCCATCCATTAGTCATACAAATGGAAGAGAAGTGCAAAAGCAGCCAAATTTCTCTTTGGCCTTTATTTGAAAGCAAAAGCACTTCAAAAATAAATGTATCCCACAATGTCACCCATCCTCTCTATGCTTTAGGGAAGGACTAGAACCAAGGTTTTCCCTGCTCCTGCAGCACCCTGGTTCTTTCTCTCATACACACAAAGCTATACATTAACAACCAACGGACATCATCCACTTTGATGGACCCAGCATATCTGCTTCAGCCCAGGGGTTGAGTCAGCCTTTCTGAGTAGACCAGACAGGAAATGTGGTCAGATAAACTAATTTTACTTTATTTTAAAACTACATTAACAGTCTGGAGGTACAATTTTTCTGCTGTCTCTCTTACAACTTGAGAAACCAGGGAGGGTCCCTTCTGAGCCTCTTGCCACACCAACTTTCCAGCTATAGGCTATGCTGTTTCTTATCTGACTATTCCCTAGACAGCATCTCTTCACCTGTCTCCTAAGGTCCTTCCCACATATTATTACAGATTGATGCTGAACCTTTTTGCTGCCAGCCTGAAAATCTGCCATGCTAGGTGGCCTTGGGGCTTCCCTTGGCCGAGGGGACTTGTATTTAGCCTACGCAATCCCTGCTGCATAGAAGCTATAAGGTGCTGATTCCCCCCAGAGACACAATATTAGACCTGTAATCCTGCCAGAGTCATTGATTGAAATGGTGGCTATAGAAATTGAATACGTAGATAAATATTCCTAACATTTTAAAAGGAGAAACCAAATGACTTTGCACGTCTTCTCTTGGTGGTTCAGGCATCCAAGAGGGGCTTTCCCATCTTCCACCCCCATAACAGGTGCAGGTAATGAGCAATCAGATCTGTTACAGCTGCAAATCTAGGTCAGATGGAAAAGGAAGGTTTGTATTCTTCCACTTTATCTCCTGCCACCCTTGGATCTAGCCCAATGGTGGCGAACCTATGGCACGGGTGCCAGAGGCAGCACTCAGAGGCCTCTCTGTGGGCACGCGCGCCGTCGCCCTAGTCCTTGGCCTTCAGCTGGGTTTTATAAAAGCTTTTCGCTTTAGGCCTCCGCCGCCATGTGCAAAAAAAAAAGGTTCAATCAGTCAATTTCAACTTCTCACAGAAACAAAAAGATCTTGCAAAGTTAGAATTGATTGATTGAACTTTTTAGTCCCACCCAGTCTGCTGTTACCATCGCAGCCACGCCCACCCAATGGGCCACACCTACTCAATGGGCCACACCCAGCCAATGGGCCACACCCACCTGGCACCCGACAATGCATAAGTGGATTTTGGGTTGCAGTTTGGGCACTCGGTCTCTAAAAGGTTTGCCATCACTGATCTAGCCTAAACTGTGACCTTTGATCTTCCATCAAGGGACATTTTTGAAATGTCGATTTTGAAATCAAGGAGCTACCCAAAAAACCCCACAACCCTATCAACACAGGCAGCCTATGCTAATGTATATAAGCAGGGAGAAAACCCCACACCCAGGAACACTGATGGCGTTACCTAATGGGGTAATGAAAGGTCTGCAAGCATGTAACTCAGCTCAAAGAATACCAAGGACTCCACAGTTCAATATCTGAGCTTACAGATATTTCCAACAGACCCATCTCCCGGCCTCAAGGAGCCACGGGGGACCAGGGACCTAGGCTAACTGCCGAAGAAAACAACGGATTGCCAGAAGGTAAATTATTCAAACCAGGAAGGAAACGCAGCCAACCAAGGACCTGGACGGAGTAACTCTTCCCTTGCTACTGCTCCTCAGTCCGGCGCATGGAGCACGCAGACAGGCGGAGAGGGAAACCAGCGTCGGGGATGGGGGTCTGAGGCAGCGCACGGACGACGGAACCGAGTTGAGGAACTCGGCCTGGTCGTCACACCCGCCCTTTGACTTCCCCTCTACCCAGCCTGCACCTCCAGGGCGCAGCAGCGAGAGGGTTAAGCGATCGAAGGGCTGCGGGCGGGGGAGGCGGCCGGCTGTCAGGAAGGAGCATGTGCAGTTTGCATTGCAACCGCATCCACGCTATGGGTCCTCTTCATTGGCACAGCGGCGGCGGCGCAAGAGAGGCTACAAAAGGAACCGCTGCCAGCTCGGATCCATCCATGGAGCAGAGGCGGATGAAACGCTGCTGAGCGGGTCCCAGCCGCGCCGCTGCGGGGAGCAGGCACCTGCGCCGGGCGGCCCTCCTTGCGTCCCACTGCCCAGCGTCACCCGGGTAGGTGCATCCGCAGAGGCCTCCTCCTTCCTGCAACGGGTGCGGGTTGCCGATGCTCGCGGGCGGAAGACCTGGGCGACCGCGGTCAGCACGCTCGGGCTTCCCCTTTGACCCGCTGCAACTCGCAGCCCCGGGCAATTCCTTGGGGAACCGCGCGAGAGGAAGGGAGCTCAGCCTGTAACAAAGCGAGGAGGTGCTTGAGAGAAGCGGAAGGGAAGCGAGCGCTTTTCCTCAGCTGCCCTTCTTTTGCCGGATCCTGTTCCTTAATCGCTCCTCAACCTCCCATCTTCCTGCCTCAGTTCCCGGCTTCCGATCCGCCACGCCCCCGCCGGCCTGGGAAGGATGCTGAGCTGCTGCATCCTGTCTGGTGGGCTTGGCCTGGAGGGGGCTCGGCCGGAGGCTTTTAGGCGCGCGGGCTCTCCTTTTGGCCCCGCACGAGCGACGAAGCCCCCGCGCGTCCTCTGCGCTCGGCCGCGTGTATCTGGGGAAGCGGGGAATCTTCTTGCTCGGACGCTGGGTGGCTACTTGCGAGCTTCGCACCACGCCTGGGTATTTCTTGCCCCCCCCTCTCTCTCCTCTAAAAGAGTCTACGTGAACGCGGTGCCTCCCAGTTGTCTCGCAGCCTTCCCAGGCGGCGTGGTCACCTCCCTCTCCTGGGGGTATATTCTAATTGCTAAATCCTCGGGCTTCCTCAGATTGTCTGCTCCTCTAATTTCCCTGTCATGTATTCGACTCCCCAAAGTCTGAAAAGCCCCAAGTAGGGAGGGTGTGCCTTTCAGGTCTCAAGATTGTTATTTCTGATCCTACTCTTCTAAGCCCCAGCATGATTTAAAAAAAAAAAAAGTTTATAACATTCTTTATAAAAAGTAAGTATTGGGCACATTAATTTTCATGTCAGTCCTGTGAGACAGGCTGGTAAGTGGTTATTCCCGTTTTGTAAATGGGAAGCTGAGGCTAGAAGAAAAGATAGAAGGTGATTCTTAAAAGAGAATCTAAGCATTGTTCTCTCCTAAAACTCACAAGCTTTTTGCAAGCTTTATTTCCTAGGCATACAGCTCACATCTCACATGGTGTATGTCTCCCATCTAGTCTGCCCACTTGGGCAGCTAAGGAGTTCCTTGGCTGTCTTCTACCTATAAAGACACATATCCCCCATATAAGTCAGTTAGTGATCTCCAATGTGCCATTGTACTTTTAATGGGTTTTGGTGTTACAGAACCTAGAATCTGTTCTCTGAAATCAGTCATGGTCCTTCTTGCTAACTCCTACAGCTAGGATTATTAGATTATACAGAAACATCTATGAGTACTTGCATGTTTAGGGAAAAGTCTTCCAACATGATTACCCCCCCCCCCCCGCCAAAGTGTTGGATTATGCTTGCCACTCCTTAACCAGCATGCTCCAGAGATGATATGAATGGTAGTCTCACATATCCTGGGTGCCAGTTATAAGGAGGTTGCTGAAGACAGAGCTTTCTGTACATCCAGTGGGTAGAAATTCTTACCCAAGAGGTGAGGGGATATAAATTATGGTGTGGGTATATGGTGATGTGTAAGATCAAAGGCTTATTGTAACAATATGTATTTATGTAATCAGTAACAATATTTATTTATGTAATCAAGTGGATCATTGCATTGAATATTGTGTTTAGGGGATGTTAAAATATGGCAGCGCTAATCACTGTGCAAATCATTAAATAATATATGGCAGCCTCTGTAAGCTGTGTTCTTTTAGCATTAGCAGTATTATTTTTATACCATACCAAAAGCCAGGAAGTTTTTCCACATTTGCTGTGATCAGTAAAACAAAAGTATATCGCCCTTTTAAAATTTTAAACTGAAAAAATACCTTTGGGGACTAAAGTTGAGTGAAACGGAGAAGTGTTACTTTTCCTGCTTTTCTCAGTTAATTATTTCTAAAGGGGAAAACATCACTAAATGTGTATCAGCATCCCACAGAAAAATGTATTTTATTCTGTGAGCAAGAATCTTGTGCTGAAACCCGTTGGACTGCATTGATTGAAGCAGCCAGGGTTTTAAAATAGTGACGATAATCTCCAGCGCTGGGGAATAAACAAAACGTTGGGTGAGAGACTAAATGTCCTTCCAGTTGAAGTAACCTTGCTAACCCTATGAAATTGTTGCATTTTTGTGAAACATTAATTTAATAAATGTCCAATTCCAAGAACAAGTAAATTCAAAAACTTAAATATAACAAATTACTGCAGCATGATAATTTTATTTTCTTCAGAAAATTTTATTTACACAAAAAGAAGAAAGTTAATTAGGCCTTCATATTTCCTTATTCGAAGCTTAATTGATTCTGCTGCTGTTTCTCGTGCAGAGAGAGATTGCAACTGAACGCCCAACCTTAGGAAATTATTTTAAGCCATATGAGGTTTAAATGGACATAAGCCACACATATTGAAATCTGTTTGTTATAGCTAGGAGATGCAGAAAGGTATTTTTAAAAATATAATATGAAGTTTGTGGAATACTGGATTAAGTAGTTATTACCATATTGTCTGATTCTGTTCTTTTTCTTTTCATTGTTTGTTTTTTCGCCCATGATTCTAAACAGAACCCTGATTGTATTTAGTCACTTACCCAACAGCAATTTTGATCTTATATTGTGGTACACTGTACAGTACTTCTTTGGAAAAACTATTGGCGATCTATGTTGTTTGAAATCTAGAAAAAAATTCCTTAACTTTCGAAATTTGCATGCCACAAGGCAATATTTTTCTACACTGAAAAAGAAGAAAGTGATACTTATATTGGGTTAATTCCATAGAATCTATTATGTAGTTTTTGCTTTTCACATATTTTAAATAATCAAAGGACTGGTTATTACATATGCCAGAAAAAACAAGTAGAACGGATGGTTTAAAATGTATGTTTGAGATTGGGAATTTTGGGAGAAAATCATTAGATTCCAGTAACTGAGTAGTGTATAAAATGCATGTAGGTGCTGATCCAGCCACACTGAAGCCTTTTTAGCAGAAAGTATTAAATATATTCTTAATTTCATTCTGGTTGGAGAGCACCTGCCTTCATTTCTAGGACTAGCTTTAAAATGTTGGACATGGTTTGAATTTTTTAATGTTTACACCCAGAAGTGTCATATTGTTAGTACAAGTCACTTCCTACTAGAAGTACAGATGATGTAATCGTAGAAGTAGGAGGGTTTTATAAGGGCTGAATTTCAGAACTTCGGAAGTCTGTTTATAGACACACAGTAAGTGTATTTTAAAGTAAAAAAAAAAAAGCCTGTCAGGGATTTCTGTTGTCCTTTATTGACAAAAAACGGATGGAGGAGCAAAGTAATAAAAATTATAGACCTTCTTGAAAACATTGCTAAAAAGCAGTGGATAAATACATAGTAAAACAAACAAAAGGACAAAATATCTGTGATCATAAAGCAAGTCCTCCAATGGAATCTACTGGATTCTATTTCTAATGGAATCCAGTAGCATCAGACACTTCATTCAATGCAAACTCACCGTTTTTCCCTCTGAAAAATAAGGAAACAACTCTCCTCCGTGAAAGTAAACAACTTTCAAACTACTATATGGTGTTTGTAAAAAATATGCTCCTGATTTGATAGTCAACCAAGTTTCATGGTATACAAACTTGCTGGAATGGTTTTTAGAAGGGAATCAACTTTTAACATTTCCGTTTTAAGAGTCAGCATATCAGCAATTTTAATTTCTAGCCAAATGCAAACTTCCTCTCCTTTTCCTGCTAAGCTGCTCATTCAAATCAAGAAAAGGAATTTGGTGAATAAAATACTGTGTAGGAGTGCTTAAATTCTTATTTCATTGTGTCAAATATTATATCTGGAAAACTATACAGGGTTCCAATTAGTGCATGGGAAGCATTTGTATTTACATCTCACCTGATAGGTACAGCTTTAAATCTTCCAAATCTTAGAAACTGAAACTTGGTACAACTTCTTCTTTTCTTGCTCATGGTTTACATAATTCTTCCCAGCCTGCCCTTTACTATCTGTTTAGGTTGAACTGTGGATTTGAACTGTGACTTTAGCCCCCAGTCACCGGGAATTTTCCATACTGTAATGAACAGGGCTTTTTAAATTAGAAAACTGTAGCTTAAAGCTGATATTTTACCCAGAAGGGTTTTCATAGATGTAAGTGTAAATTATTGGTGCCTGTTTCAGGTTCCAGAAAAGTTTTGATAAAAAACCTCTTCCCACTTGTTTTTCAATTTTTTTTCTTCTTTAAGAAAGTGTTGGACCGTAGCTTCTGTCGTAGAAGGTGCTAGGTTGGGAAAAACTGGTTAAAAAGATAGGGCATAACAATACACCCAGCCACTACATCTTTGCCTATCTGTATCAAAAATGGGAAGATGAATAATAGTTGATGGGATTAGAACAGTGCTTTTTGTCCATTTCTGGCTGATGGAGGCACTCCCAATCATTGGTCATCCTGTCTCCTCCGTAATAGTTGGATATAGTAGTGCTCTGCTTGTGGTTCTTCAGAATTGACTAATAACACAAAACTGTTCAGTCACCAGTACTGTAAGTGCTGCCATCTATGTCCTAGAACAGCGGTTCTCAACCTTTCACAGGGGTCACCTAAGACCATGGGCAAACACATATTTCTGATAGTCTTAGGAGCGGCGATTCCCGGGCGCCGGAGGAAGGGGGGCGGAGGAGTCCACAGGGCCGCGGCTGCATCTCCTGTCCTCCCCGAGCAGCCCCTTCTCAGCGCTTCTTCCTAAGAGGGAAATCCCGCGGGGAGCGAGGCGCTTGCTGCCTGGGAAGCCCGCCTGGGAAGTGCGTCCGAAGCAAAAGGAGCAAACAGTTTATTTTGTTCCTGGCCACCCTTCCGAAAAGGCGCTGCTGCTGCTGCTGACCGAGACCTTGTTAGCGAAAGCCCTTCAGTGGCTTGGCTTTGGTGGCCCTTCCCTCCGCCCCCTCCCCGACCTTAGCTTTGTGCACTTTTTGGATTTGTTTGCTCCTGCTTTTATAAAGTGGCC